TGAGAGATCCAGGCTCTAGTCCCCCTTGGGCCATGAAGCTTACTCTTGACTTTGGGCCACTGACTGACTCTCAGTATAACTTACCTCAGAGGGTTTGAGGAGGAGAGGAGAGGAGGAAAGGGGTTATGCAAGTCACTTTGGGGTTTTTTGCAGGAAAAAAAGAGGGATATAAATATAATAAATACCTACATAAATACATCTTGAAAATACACCAATCCACACTTTTTTCCTGACTAGTAAGGGATTTTATTACTAACCTTTAGTTATTGTTATAGTATTGTGATATTTACAAAAGTTTTTAACGTTTTAATTATTTGGCCTGTTACAATATATTATGTGGCATAGAAGTGTTTAAATAAAGTTGTAATTGGAACAAAATACTGGCTGATAATTATTGGCCCTGCCACTACCATATAGGGTACAGTGGCTATCCTCTCTCAACTGAAGGCTGTTAAGGAAGTACCAATATATTTCGCTCCCTCCTGATAAATAATCTACTATTCAGGTTTGAGGTTATGTATTGTTCTGCCTTTGTTGGAAAGTAGGCCTTCTCAATTTCTTAGAAACTGAAAACTATATTTTTAATGGTGTGGTGTGGTGTGGTGTGGTATGGTATTTTAAAAGTTGAAACACCAAGTCAAAAGGGTCAAATCTCTCCAGAATGTTTGGGCTTATTAATGGTTGCATTTACACATAACAACAAATAATACTGCAGATTGCTTGTCATTATGTGAGAATATTGGAAGCATGCTAAATGTGGCACATTTTGTTACCATGAATCACCATGGAGAACCAACGATTTGTTCTAACATTTCCACATTTCAGCATTGCTTTTCAGTACATGTGAAGCCAGTTACAGTGTTTTCCTGTGGTTTCCCCATTTCAGCCAGAGGGCTCAGTGACAAGAGTGGCTGCAGTCAGTCCATGTGCCATTTTCCGCTGCCCTAGCAAGGACTGAGTTGCCCGCAGAAAGGTGCTGATTGGTGGCCCCCGTGCTTCCTGTCTGTGCTTCCTGGTGTGCATTCCCTGATGCCCAGTGGCTGCATCACCACTGCGTACACTGATCTCAAGTGCTGCCTGTCTGATTGCCCATCTCACGGCTGGATCATTGAGGTGTTTGTCTTGCCTGTCACCATGTTCCTGACTGGCTCATCCTCCTTTGTTAGTGTGCAGTTTCCTCTCACATGAGGTTGTGTTGGTTCACAGACATACATGCTGCCATTTTGAGGGAAG